GGTTGTTTGTGGTTGTGCGGGTTGTTGTGGTTGTGCGGGTTGTTGTAGTTGTGCGGGTTGTTGTGGTTGTGCGGGTTGTTGTGGTTGTGCGGGTTGTTGTGGTTGTGCGGGTTGTTGTGGTTGTGTGGTTTGTTGTGGTTGTGTGGGTTGTTGTGGTTGTGCAGGTTGTTGTGGTTGTGCAGGTTATTGTGTGGAGTTGGTTGAAGCTGGCCTTTTTTGTGGATGTGCTGAGTCAGCAGCATATCTACCAGCCTGGGTACATGACGCATTACAAAACCACAACTGCCACATGTATATACCATCCCAATTGTAACATTACCCATTACCCATCCCGTCTTCCCCACCAACCCACACGGAAATAAGTCACTTTGACTTCTTTGGGTTATCCTAGGTTGATGGTCGTCTGGGTTATCCTTCCTTCCTTCCTTCCTCTCTCTCATCTCTTCCTTCCTTTCTTTCTTCCTTCCATTCTTCTTTCCTTTCTTCCATCCTTTCTTTCTTCCTTCCATTCTTCCTTCCTTCCTTCTGGTTTCCTGGGCATTGCTTTCAGTCACAAACTCCTCAAAACCATGAAATTCATCTTCACTGACACTTCCAGCTGTGTTAGAACTATCATTTGGGAAAAGAAGAGTCCCAATTCGCCGGGGACTGAGGTATTTCTTATAGTGAGGCATGGAAAACAAGGCGTACTGAAATGGCATTCCCACAATGCACCACTGGCTCCACAATTTTTTTTATACTGTGCACACTGACCATGCAGACTGACACTGGCTCTCAAGCTGTAATATTACAGGACCAATACTGGAAGGGTTAATAACAAATAATAAACAAACAAAACACTCACCACTCATAAGGTTAGGCAGGCGAACTGTGATGACTTATGATGATGGTAATGATAGTTAGCCATGCAGTTGCTGATGACAGTTGAATGGAGGTGATTATATGGAGTGTAACTGCATGGCATGATGAGTCTAGTGTGTGGATTCTAACTCTTCACTGCCAACATCACTGCCAACGTCGCTAAAGTCAGAGTTAGCAATGGAGTCAGATTCTGCCACGACTTTGTTAGCCTTGTCCTAAGGACCAAATCCAACAAAATCACACACACACTGGACTGGTGGACTGCTGGTTGATGGGGGGGGGGGGGGTAAGAGGTTTGGTAAATATGATTTGGTGGCTGGGCATTTGCGAATGTTCAAAGCTCGTGAAAGTGGAACTTGCGGAAGTGGAGGGCTAGCTGCATTAGAATTATACAATGTTTCAAAATTATAGTACTTATATATTTCACGTTGAAGACAAGACACCAGAGCATAGCTCAACTACAGTAAAAACAAATGTATGTAATTACCTATATGTGCTCAATACTCATGCACAGCCCTAGCAAAAGCCCTAGCCACCATTTCAATACTATCATGGTAATTGCTCTCATTTTTCATTTACCACACTGCAGACCAAATACTGTACTACAAAATCATTTAATATATAGACTGAATGGTAATACTGTACTTTAAAAAACAAAAATAGTACAGGAGGGCTTCACTCATACAGCAGGTTAGGTTCTAGGCTACTACAGTAAAGAGAAAATTGCTTTAAAGTGAAATATAGCCTTTTTTTCACTTTTAAATGCAAAGTAAAGCTTGATAACGTGTTTAGACTATCATATACTAAGTGAGGAATAGAACTAGGCCTAAAAAAATGCATATACAGTACACACATTACTTTAAAATATTTTCATCCTTAGCTTATTGTGAGTGGTTAACATATTTATTGTAGGTACTCTAAATAAATGAAGAATGAGTATAATTGAAAACTGCTGCATTAGTAAAATGCTGTAAAGTAGGGCCCTCCTTTATTACTACATTTAGAAAAGTGTGATCTGGAAAAAGACCTCATTTGGATTAGTAGCACTGTATAACCCAGTATAACCCAACAGTTGAGCACTGCAGCAAGTCCTCCCCTTCACAGGATGCAACACATGACTGTTAACTAGCTCCTGGGCATATACTGTATATTTGCTTAGAAGTAACAGGGGCAACATATATTAGGAGACCTGACCATACACCCAAGAATTAACTCTGGGTACTTTCAGTTGTAGATGAACAAGACGTGCAATACTCGGGTATCTTTATTGTGGAGATGGTTCACCAACCAGTGGCTTTATCAATCCAATACAGAGAATAATCCTGGAGACTGTGGAAGATTTAAGGAATTTGAGGTGATTAGTCTTTCAGCCTTTCCAGGAAGTGTTCAGTCCATCAGTCTGGTTAAAATCTGATGGACTGAACACTTCCTAGCAAGGCTGAGGGACTGATCCCCTCAAGCTGCTGCTTCAACTATCCCACTGTCTTCGTCAGCTTCATTAAGGCTGAGAGACAGATCACCTTAACCCTTTGAGGGTTTCGGACGTACTAGTAACAGCTTATGGCCCAGGGTTTTTGATGTACTAGTACGCCTAAATTCTAGCGCCCTCAAATCTAGTGGGAGAAAGCTGGTAGGCCTCCATATGAAAGAATGGGTCTATGTGGTCAGTGTGCACGGTACAAAAAAATCCTGCAGCACACAGTGCATAATGAGAAAAAAAAACTTTGACCATTTTTTTGGAATAAAACAGCGACTTTGCACTGTACAGTATTTTTGTATGGTATTTATTGTTGTATTCTAGTTTTCTTGGTCTCATTTTATAGAATGGAAGGCATATCATAGAAATTAAGATGATTTTGACTGGTTTTACAATGAAAAGTACCTTGAAATTGAGCTCAAAGTAGCAGAAATGTTCAATTTTTACCAAAGTTCAAAAGTAAACAAATCATGCCAAGCGTCCAATACACGTCAACTGGCGAGTCTAATATTCTTTTGCAAGTGCGCCAATATGATTCATACCATTTTTTTACACTAATGCAGTAGTCTGCATAGCAGTAAATCTATTTTTTGTGAGAATAAAAATTCAAAGTGGAAAGCAAAAGAATGTAAGAGGGGCCTTGAGACGTGACTAATGAACAGAGGAAATGTCATTTTAGTGCCAGGGATGTATTTCCTGTTTGTTCTGGACCCTATTCGGAAATTGGCATCTTTTGAAATTTGTGTGAAATTGGCAAAATTGCTAAATTCTGACCACTGTACTGGATAGTTGAAATTGGTAAATGGGTGGTTTTTTGCACTCATTCAATAGAAAAAATGGAGTTCTAGCGAAATATTCATGTTTTTTGTCGACTAGTAGTGGAACTGGCCGAAAATGGGGCTCAAAGTGGACAAAATCGCCGATCCGTAAACATCGCCGAGACCGCTAACTTCGCGAGAGCATAATTCCGTAAGTTTTCCATCAAATTTCATATTTTTGGTGTCATTATGATCAGGAAAAGATTCTCTATCTTTTCATAAGAATTTTTTTTTTTTTTTTTTAAATTTGGCTGACCCTGAGAACGAGTCTCGGAGAGGGCCTGTCGACCCTCAAAGGGTTAAACTATAGACTTCTTCATATCTTCAACCATCTCCAAAATTATTATATGTACTATTTATTTTAATTTTAAAACCCACTAATGTAATATACTTTCAGTTAAGAGCCAAACTCGCTGCCAACGCTCTACAGGAAAGCATTATAAATTTTTGCCAAGAAAGCAACTCAACTGGACACCATTAAAAATATACATTGAAGAGTGATCTATAAGAATCGCTGGATGAATAATGTTAACTCCCTTACTGGTATGGCATGCGATAAAAAATGCTATTTACTTACCAATGGGAAGTTACAGAATGAAAATACATCGTACACACGTTAATAACCCAAATTAGCTTTTATAATTATTATCAGCTATATTTAAATACTGTATTCCTGTTGATTTTAAATATGACATATGTACATGTGTCTAAAAGAGATGCTCAACATAGTACAGTGGACCCCCGCATAACGATCACCTCCGAATGCGACCAATTATGTAAGTGTATTTATGTAAGTGCGTTTGTACGTGTATGTATGGGGGTCTGAAATGGACTAATCTACTTCACAATATTCCTTATGGGAACAAATTCGGTCAGTACTGGCACCTGAACATACTTCTGGAGTGAAAAAATATTGTTAACCAGGGGTCCACTGTATATAGTATAGTATAGTATAAAGGACCCCAATGGAAATAGGTCACACTGCCTGACTTTTTTGGGTTATCCTAGGTAATTTACACATATGCTGCTATGTATGTTAATCAATGTAACTGTATTTGTGTATACCTGAATAAACTTACTTATGTTAATACAGTGTCTGCCAAAATCACTGACTTTTCAAATTAGCGATATCAGCAAGTTATCCAGGAAGCAGGTTCACATAAGTACACTTTATTATAAATTTGAGCACACATACAGAGGTACAAAAAAAAAAATACAGATAAGAGCAGCATGCCAAAGCCACTTATACTATGCATAGCATTACCGGCTGGCTTAAAATTAACTTAAGATTAACTAAGCAATGATGAAGTCAGTGATAAAACATTAATGTAAACAGATTACTATAAAGCACAAGTTAGATTCGGTTTTAGGTTTAACAAAAATGAAACAAAATTTATTTCTTTTTGTAGTATACAAAATGTAGTTTACATGTAATAAAATATTGTTAAGCACAAAAGATAGCTACTAGCATGCATGTGCAAATATCACACAAAATGACTTATTTCTATTGGATTACTTGTTAACAAAAAATAACGCGTTATTCAGCAACATAATTCGGGTTAGTTTACCTCATGGTGGGTTAGTTAACTGATAGTTGAACTTAATTTTTGTTAATTTTTCGCCAGTAGGAAAATACTGGGGCCTTCTGGCTAGTTGGTGTCTTGCCAACATGATAGTATCACTGGCATTCATTTATATACTCAGATTAATTACCACATATGTAATATATAAATGCGAATCACTATGAATGTAAATTGTTGTATATGTACTGTAATAAGCATTTAAGGCATTTGAACTATGGTGACAATGGCAGCTTTATTTCACTAGACATTAACCTGACGCACCTTTTTGTTGCCTTTAGTCCTCTGAGCAGACTTATCTTTCCCCATTTTGTAGATATATTGAAGGCATCTGGTGGTCAACTGGAAAAAATTGTTGTCGTTGGACTTATTCAGGGCCACCAACGATGAAACTTTATTGAACCCAACCACCAGGGTGTCCGGGGGGAAATTACCCTTAAGTAAGTAAATTTATTCAGGTATACACAAATACAGTTACATAGAATTATCATACATAGCAGCATATGTGTAGAGAACCTAGGATAACCCAAAAAAAAGTCAGACAGAGTGACTTATTTCCATTGGGGATCTGAGCGGGAATGAGGGAAAAATACAAATACAAATATTTATTTCCTTGTAAAGCTTATAATGTGTGGTTTACATATTATAAGATTTAAATTATATAGGTGGCCACCATCGTGCCTAGGCACTTCGGGCAGACTAATACTAATTCTTACCCTATTTTGAGAGAGGTCATATTTGAGCAGTACATTTGAACATATTATTAGGTACTTAATTAGAAACATTCTCAGTTAGGTACATACATAATTAGGTTTAAAATAGTTAGGTAGTCAAATCATTTAATTTTAGAACTAATGGCAGATTTAGTAATGGGAATCGATTTGTCTTGGTATGATACAATGTTTGTATTAAGTAGTCTGTTGAGAAATATATCTATGCCCGAAATGCCTAGCCATGCTAAGCGTTCTAGTGGTACACTCTGTAATCACAATTTTACTACATGTAAACCACACATTAACCAAATTTCTGTAAACTCAGCATTGTAATCCTTATAGAGAATAAACTTTGAATTTGAATTTGAATATCCAAAAATCGATACCATTAACCTCAGAGAATTCTGTAGGCCAGTCAATCGTACCTAGCTCTCTTGTGAAGTTACTTATTGAAGCCTCATCATGGAGTCTAACAGAGACCTTGTTGTATTCCAGTGGTTGTTTACCAATATTTGTTAAGTGGAAGGTGGGGTAGTGGTCAGTAGTGCTGTCTGTGATTATCCCTGATTTAAGGAGAGCTGATATATTTGTCCATATATGGTCGATTATGGTTGCACTTGTCTCAGCCTGGTTGGTTTTATTATAGTTGGAATGAGTAGTGTGTTGTTCATATTATTGATGAAATTTGTTACTGGCTGGTCATCTGTTAGACCAAGATTAATGTTAAAGTCTCCGGATAGAAGGTGATGCTTGTTCATTTGGTTGTTTGTGATTAGTGTCCTTAATTTATCACTAAAATTTGGGATGTTTGTATGAGGCACTGATTGTCATAGGAGTCTTATTGTTTTTTGTAGTAAAATTTTCAAAAATGCATTCTCCATATTCATCAGTATAGCAAGTGGTATTACAACGTAATAGTTCATTATAGTAACAGATGGCAATACCACCCCCAACCTGGTATGGTCTGCAGTTGTGGATTGCTGGGTATCCTGGTAGTTGGTTTACATCTATTGTTGTTGGTGAGGGGCTCTTGATTTAGGGAATTGGATCTGTGCTCCAGTTCCCCGAATTAAGCCTGAATGCCTTCCACATCCCCCCCCCCTCAGGCGCTGTATAATCCTCCGGGTTTAGCGCTTCCCCTTGATTATAATAATAATAATTACATCTATTGTGCCCTGTTTAAGCCAGGTTTCAGTGAGAATAGTACAGGAGAAGGTTGTCTTTATGGACTCAAGGAGTGCAAGGTCATAATAGTGTTTACTTAGGGACCCCACAGGATGGGTATGGGGTGCATAATAAACATATTAATTAAACTAACTAACTTAGGGACCTAATATTGTAAGTGAGAACTGTAATATTTCTGGCATTACTTAGAACAGTGCTGGTTTGTGATGCTGTGTAATAAAGGCAGTTGTTTTTTCCATTAAATTTTGATTGGGAGTTAGATTATATAGATTTAGATCAGGGTATATTTGATCATTCAGCATTTAGGTTAAATGGTAATTATTTATATTATTTATAGTATGTTGAGTTCCATGCATGGTTTAAAAAGACACGTAAGCAAACACTAGGACATATTGAACATCAAAATGGTATACAATACCGACAGGTTGTTAGGTAACCTAGGTTACCTAACACTAGGACATATTTATTAGAAAACGTTTCGGTCCTGGGACTTTGATCACGGTCCTAAGACCGAAACGTTTTCTAATAAATATGTTATAGTGTTTGCTTACGTGTCTTTCTAAACCAACTTGTCGGTATTTATTACCAAGGTTTATACCAGCTCCAAGAATGATATCTGTACAAAACAGTGCACTTTATTTCTTTTCTGAAGTATACAAAATGTTGTTTGCATGTAATAAAACATTGTTAAGCACAAAAGAAAACCATTAGCATGTGGTAAGTAGGTAAGTAAGTTTATTTAGGCACAGATACACATAAGTACAATTATCATACATTATGTAAATTACATAGGATAACCCCCCCAAAAAAATCAGTTTCATCTGGACAGAGAAACGGGAACATTAAATTCCTTGTACATTAAGTATATGACGTAATCGCAAAATATGGAATGAATAATATTTCTTTCCAGTGAAGTAACACCCAATGGTGTATGACGAAACTCATTGTGACCTCTAATTTTTTTCGCATTACTGCTCACAGGATGAGAATGGAGTACACAGTAAACTAGCCGCTCAGGTGACAACTGAAACTAATCAACCTAGGCCAAAACACCGGTAAGGCCAGGCGTCTTATTCCCTGAACAATCATGACTACACTAAACCAAAGTCGGGAAGACAGTATAATGACGGCCCATGCACCGTAAAACCTTGTAGCCCATTGTGTGTATCATGCTACCCAAGTTGTCCTACCTGAGTGACAAGTTGTTTAATAATAATAATAATTATTATTATTATCTTTATTTCCACAAGTACATGTACAATGTATACAGGCCTAGCTGACATCAATGATATACTACTGTATATTATTATAATCATGGGGGAACGCTAAACCCGTAGGGATTATACAGCGCTGTGGGGGGGAAGGTATTCAGGTTCAATTCAGGGAACTGGAGCAGAGACCCAATTCCCTAGATCAAGAGCCCCTCATGAGCATCAAGGAACCTCCCTTGTGGGGATATAACTGTATAGAAAACCCCTTGCTTCGGGCAAATTAGGTCAATTTTGTCTCCAGGATGCGACCCACACCAGTCAACTAACACCCAGGTATCTAGTTTATTGATAGATTCAAATTCAAATTCAAAGTTTATTCTCTATAAGGATTACAATGCTGAGTTTACAGAAATTTGGTTATTGTTTGATTTACATGTAGTAAAATTGTGATTACAGAGTGTACCACTAGAACGCTTAGCATGGCTAGGCATTTCGGGCATACTTAGTTTTATTCTTAATTGTAAAATATTACAAATTATGAGGTAAGTTGGTATTATGGCTAAGTGACTAAATACTAGTTTGTGAGTTTAGCAATGTGAATGCTTTTGTTTTGGCACAGTATATAGTTTCAGTATTGGAACACGGACAGCAGGTGTCTTAAGGAAACACGTCCTAATGTTCGATCCCGGTACCGGGGATCGAACCAGGGAGTCCCAGACCTCTATGTATCGTTTAATTTCTACAAGTACATGTACAAGGTATACAAGCCTAGCTGACATCACATAGAAAACCACTTGTTATGCGGCGTGTGAGCTGAGTACGCTACCAATCCAGCTTATCCTGTGAGTGGTAGCGCAAAAAAAATGTCAGGATTGCAGAGATTACAGTGGGTCTATACACAAATAACCCGCACATAAAAGAGAGAAGCTTACGACGACGTTTCGGTCCGACTTGGACCATTGACAAAGTCAATGGTCCATTGACAAAGTCAAGAGAAGTTTGTAATAATTTAAGCATATGGGAGTCCCAAGCCGCTTATAACGTTTTCCAAATTTGTCTAGCAGTTGACTTAAGTTCTCTCAATTTGAGGTTATCATAATATTTATGCTATCCTGTATGCTAACTTTTCCTGCCTTTCGTTTTAGTTGACTCATAAGTTTAGAAAAACAAGAGATGTATTGTAACTATAAGATTATCACTAAAAATTCCTGGACAGTCTCAGGTTCACAGTCTCTGTATCTTATCTTAACATTTGGACTTGGGTTCAATAAACTTAACCTCCTTTCCTGATTAACCTTCTTTTGCTTAGTCTTTCTCCAAGCAGGTGACATTAGCTACGTATTTATATATACAGTGTCAGAATAATGCGCTCTCTATGACACCTATCACTCTTCCTTCATTGATGTGAGTTGGCTAATTTGTACTATTAATTTGGACATTCTCCCGGGACTGAGTTGTGCCGCCTGAGTGTTTTGTTTGATATGTTTAATATGCACCCCATACCCATCCTGTGGGCGGTAGTCAAAAGATTACAGATCACCACCCATCTAGAAACCCATCAGTTACACAACCCAGGGCAACATGGGTTTAGAACAGGTCGCTCCTGTCTGTCTCAGCTACTGGATCACTACGACAAGGTCCTAAATGCACTAGAAGACAAAAAGAATGCAGATGTAATATATACAGACTTTGCAAAAGCCTTCGACAAGTGTGACCATGGCGTAATAGCGCACAAAATGCGCGCTAAAGGAATAACAGGAAAAGTCGGTCGATGGATCTATAATTTCCTCACTAACAGAACACAGAGAGTAGTCGTCAACAGAGTAAAGTCCGAGGCAGCTACGGTGAAAAGCTCTGTTCCACAAGGCACAGTACTAGCTCCCATCTTGTTCCTCATCCTCATATCCGACATAGACAAGGATGTCAGGCACAGCACCGTGTCTTCCTTTGCAGATGACACCCGAATCTGCATGACAGTGTCTTCCATTGCAGACACTGCAAGGCTCCAGGCGGACATCAACCAAATCTTTCAGTGGGCTGCAGAAAACAATATGAAGTTCAACGATGAGAAATTTCAATTACTCAGATATGGTAAACATGAGGAAATTAAATCTTCATCAGAGTACAAAACAAATTCTGGCCACGAAATAGAGCGAAACACCAACGTCAAAGACCTGGGAGTGATTATGTCGGAGGATCTCACCTTCAAGGACCATAACATTGTATCAATCGCATCTGCTAGAAAAATGACAGGATGGATAATGAAACCTTCAAAACTAGGGAGGCCAAGCCCATGATGACACTCTTCAGGTCACTTGTTCTATCTAGGCTGGAATATTGCTGCACTCTAACAGCACCTTTCAAGGCAGGTGAAATTGCCGACCTAGAAAATGTACAGAGAACTTTCACGGCGCGCATAACGGAGATAAAACACCTCAATTACTGGGAGCGCTTGAGGTTTCTAAACCTGTATTCCCTGGAACGCAGGAGGGAGAGATACATGATTATATACACCTGGAAAATCCTAGAGGGACTAGTACCGAACTTGCACACGAAAATCACTCACTACGAAAGCAAAAGACTTGGCAGACGATGCACCATCCCCCCAATGAAAAGCAGGGGTGTCACTAGCACGTTAAGAGACCATACAATAAGTGTCAGGGGCCCGAGACTGTTCAACTGCCTCCCAGCACACATAAGAGGGATTACCAACAGACCCCTGGCAGTCTTCAAGCTGGCACTGGACAAGCACCTAAAGTCAGTTCCTGATCAGCCGGGCTGTGGCTCGTACGTTGGTTTGCGTGCAGCCAGCAGCAACAGCCTGGTTGATCAGGCGCTGATCCACCAGGAGGCCTGGTCACAGACCGGAGCCGCGGGGGCGTTGACCCCCGAAACTCTCTCCAGGTAAACTCCAGGTACATAATTGGTCCAGGGACTGGACTCCAAAGTTTTGATAGCTGAGCAAGTTACAGAGGTAATGAACTCACAATTTACAAAGGTAATGAACTTGTGGAAAATTGCATTTATCTGAATGTATCATTATATACATAACAGTAAATGAAAAGATAATTATTATTTATCAGTTAAACATGTAGGAATTTGGGACACCTAGGTGGCAAAAAATGTCCCCCTTCAATACCTACCACTGTCATATCCACAAGTTGCTCTGGACCTATTAATTACCAATGAAATATGTATAACCAGGAATACTGGTAAATATATAAATTTTGTGGACTGTATATTAAAAATGGTTATATATATACACAATTACATAACAGAAGGAAAATATATCTTAATATCACTCACCAATTTGACTGGAGATTAATGTGTATCATACTCAGAAAACCTCACTCTAACTAAATCTATGAAAATAATACTGGCCAGAATTACACACAAATCTAGAGAGCTTATCTGAGGTTCCTGGAGAGGTCTTGTCCAGTCGCCTGATATCTCAAGCTATGCAGGAATGCATATCCACCAATTCCGTCTCCTATTTGAGAGGTGTCAACCCAGTTTTAACCTCTAGAGCACGAAAAATTCTTCTCATTACTAATGTCTGTTACTCCATTCAAAAAACACAAAATGGCGACTCTCGTCTGCGCAGACGCAGGCTTTCCGTTTTCTATGACTTAAATATTATTAAATACAGTATGGCCATCTATTTACATATAAATACTGAATTTCTGGAAAATATATACAGTATTTTCCACACTGCGGCTGGCCGGAGTTCGTTGCTTAACGATTCAAATTACTCATTTAGGAGACGATTCCAGCCAGTTCTGGCTTGAGTGGCTGTTCTCCTAGTAGGTCTTACTATGATTTCATCTTCCGGCATCACTTGGTCTGCGTTATCTTCCACATCACTTGTGTCACTTTCCCTCAGATTTTCATTTACGTTTGATTGAACACCTAACTCCAAGGGAATCAATTTATTAATTGTGCGTAAACTTTCCTGGCCATGACAGAACACTTTGACATTCCTGACAACACCTTGTGCATCTGGGTACAATGTCAATACTTTGCCCAGAGGCCACAATGTTCGTTGTTGTTCAGTGTCAACCCTTTACCGGGCAGGACCGAGTGTACTCGGTCCTCAAAACGTGGTTTTTTGCGCACGTCCTCCGACTCCCCCAGCGCATCTAGGTTCCCATTCTCTATTTCTGACCAATCACAGACCTTCCCTGAGTCGCCCCAGCTGAGCGGTGATGGCGGCTGCCCGATTCCCATTGGTCGAGAGAGCAGAATGTAAACACTTCTACCTTGCCGGCGCAAAAACTCGTGTTTCTCGGTTGAGTGCTCCTTATATACTGAAGCATTTCACCCAATACAATGTCGGTAAGTACTGATTTGTGTGTCTAGTGTGTAAATGAATAGTTTAGCCATATTTTGATATATATATGAAGGCGTTGTGAAGCATATTATGAGTGCACCATGCAAATGAAAAAAGTGCAACAAAATAGGACCAAGTACAGTCGTTCCTGCCCTTTTAGGTGCAGTTTTCAAGTTTCGGTATATAAATATTTCCATAAAATTTGGTAGTGTATATATGAATTCAGTAATGGTCTGGGTGTGTACAGAATTTTTTTTATTGTCCTTCCAGATCAATAAGAAATTGTTCTACGGTGAGTCCTCCAAGGATAAGTCGAAATTTGTCTGTGTTTGGGATGATAGTGACTCAGATCAAGACTCAGATGACCTGGATTTCCTGGATAGTGAGGATGAATTCTTGCCACCAGATGCAGAGGTGTCAACAGATGAGGAGGAGGAAGCTGGGCCACCACCAAAAAAACAAAAATTGAACAAGAGGAAGAAACGTATTACTATGGAGGAATACCCTGATGAAGAAGTGCTTCAAGATGATCTTGCTTCTCAAGGAGACACCAAATGGAAGAATGAGGACATCCACACTGACCCTTTGCCTAAATATCAACATATAAAGCCTGTTGAAGTTAGGTGTGCATATGATTATTTTACAGACTTTTTTACTCAAGACATGATAGACAACATTACATTTCAAACTAATTTGTATGCCAGGCAAAAAGACATACATACTACTTTTCAAACAGATTCTGAGGAAATGACTAGGTTTATAGGTATTCTGTTGCATATGGGTTACACTGTACAGCCATCCATTGAGGACTATTGGAGAAGTGCAAGTAGGATAACTCAAGTTGCAGAAGTCATGGGATCAAAGAGGTTTAGGTTGCTGAGGCGTACCATTAATTTCAATGATAACACACAAAAGAAGGATAATGACAGATTCTACAAAATAAGGCCTCTTTACAATGGACTAACTAAAGCTTGCTTGAAAGTTCCAGCTACACCCAAGCAGTCTGTTGATGAAGTTATGGATGCTTTCAAGGGTAAAACAGCTGGAAACCTAAGGCAATACATCAAAAACAAACCAGACAAGTGGGGTTTCAAACTCTTCTGTCGTGCCAGTGAAGATGGAATCATACATGATATACTGATGTATCAAGGTAACCCAACTTTTGAGAACCATCACATAAAGCTGTCAAATGAAGAAAGTAACCTCCCAATGAGTTCCAGGATTGTTCTTGTACTTGCAGCATCTCTTGACCAAAGAAAAACATCAGCAGTCTATGCTGATAATTTCTTTTCAAGTCTACCTTTGGTCAAGGTACTGAGAGACAAGTATAACTGCAGGTACACTGGAACAATACGTGATAATAGATGTGGTAAGCCACAACTGATGCCTGTGAAAGAAATGCAAAAGAGTAATGTGGCCAGGGGCTATTTTGATTTCCAAAGCAATGATGATATCCTTCTTGTAAGATGGAAGGACAACAAAGTTGTGACTCTAGTCACAAATGATGTCGGAGTTTATCATTTGGGTCTTATTGAAAGATATGACAAGGCATCAAAGAAGAAAGACCACTTTGAGTGCCCAGGCATCATCAAGAACTACAACGCAAACATGGGAGGTATCGACAAAAGTAACATGTTGGTCCATCTTTACAAAACGCCAATGAAATCAAAGCGTTGGTACATGCGGCTCTTTGCTTATGTTTTGGATGTTGCTGTTGTGAATGCATGGCTTCTTTACTGTCGTGATTGTAGGTCACTAAACATGCCATGCACACCACTGAAGCTATTCAGGCTTGAGATCTCTGTCACTGCAAGATCCAAAGGACAAAAGGTCAACCGCACCAGCATGAGACGAAGTCGAGATTCACCCAGTACTTCTTTGGTTGACAGTAATGACGATTTGTCAAACGTGGAATACCCATCTGCATTTCAGTACCAACGTGCAGAAAGGCCAGATGACAGTGTGAGGCTGGATAAACAGCTAGGTCACTGGCCAGTGCTAGGTAAGCTGCTTTCATGCAAGTTTTGCAGCAAAAAGAATAATCATGTCACATCCTCATTTTGCTGTGCCATATGTAAAGTAAATCTGTGCATAAAGAAGGATAGAAATTGTTTCATGAAGTTTCATTTGCAAAATTAGTGATGTGAAATGATTGTTCTTTCTCAGGGAACTCAGGAATATTTCATTTGTAAGTTGCATCCCATTGCAATGTGTCATTGTTGATAAGTAGTTCCTATTTCTATTTTTTTACTGGTTACAAATTGTTCAGAAACAAGTTCCATTTATGTTTTTTATATTGTCTACTTGTATAATAAATTTAAAAAATATTTATTTCGTTTTTTTACAACAATTGCAACATTGCAACATTCAAAAATGGTATACCCCAAACGGGCAGGACCGAATATACTCGGTCTTCGAATATCTGCAATTGCGCGAGATGTTACTTTCACAACTCTGTTTGGATGGTCTCAGTGACCTTACATTGAGTGGCTCTATCCCCTCATAGGAAATCACTTTCAAATTCACACTTTAGACTGCCTTGCCCCTCAAAGGGATTTATTATTAACACAATGTCACCTGGTTGAATGGTCTGTCGATTTACTGCCTCTGTCGCACCATAAAAGTGTTCACATAGTGTAAGAAGATATTCCTTACGCCACACATTAGACCAATGATCAATTACTTTATTTAACATTTTAAATTTATCACACAACACTGCCGCATCATTGTAATCTTCATCACTTTCTTCCGGATTATCTCTATAGACAGGGGCAGCTTCCAATTTCCTTCCACATATTAGGTGAGAAGGTGTTAATACATCTGCATCAGGTGTATCACTCATGTACGAGAGAGGCCTATTATTTATACGATTTTCTGCCTCCACTAACACTGCACGGAATTCTTCCAAATTAATTCTCTTCCGGTGTAGTACTTTGCGAAGACACCTCTTCACTGTGCCCCCCCCCCCTGCCAAGGGGCTCTAGGAGTAATAAATTTCCAGGTACACCCTCGCTGGGTTAACAGAGATTGAACATCGTTACTATTATTTAATTCTATCAAGTGTTGAGCACCTGCTACAAAATTTGTGGCATTATCATCAACCTTGGACAGGATCTCCTAGCTGCAAATTTTCGAAACAGCTGTATAAACTGTTCTGCAGACAAGTCCTGTGCCACTTCTAAATGAACTGCCCTAGTAGCAGTACAGGTGAACAAACAAACATACACTTTCAGTGGAACACCATTTGACGTACCTGTTAAAATTATTGGACCACTATAGTCTACACCTGTTACATCAAATGGTTTCACTAATTGTACATGCTCCTTTGGCAATGGTGGAAGACCTGGGTACATATAGGATCTGGCATCCACACGGCGACATATTACACAAGATTTAATCACCATTTTTACACTTTGCCGTCCTTGTGGAATCCAGAAAGTTTCCCTAATACAATTTAAGGTATCTTGTACCCCATCATGCATTACATTTTTATGGGCATTTAGAACAATCAAATTTGTTAGATGATGAGTTTTGGGCAGTAAGATAGGGTGTTTAGCATAATCACCCAATTCAGCATTTTGTAACCTACCTCTGCACCTAATTACACTGTTCAAATTCAAATTCAAATTCAAAGTTTATTCTCTATAAGGATTACAATGCTGAGTTTACAGAAATTTGGTTATTGTGTGGTTTACATGCAGTAAAATTGTGATTACAGAGTGTACCACTAGAACGCTTAGCATGGCTATTCATTTCGGGCAGACTTAGTTTTATTCTTAATTGTAAAATATTACAAATTATGAGGTAAGTTGGTATTATGGCTAAGTGACTAAATACTAGTTTGTAAGTTTAGCAAAGTGAATGTTTTTGTTTGGGCACTGTACATAGTTTCAGTATTGGAGTATCACAGGATTCATTATTTTAAGATTGAGATTAATATTTCTGTTTATGGTCAAATGAGTCAGTGAGTGTAAGTGTGAACCACCAGGTGGTATTCGTGTAGTTAGTTGACGGGGTGTATCAGGGAGATAAGATGTTTTCTAATGGTAGTTTTGAAGGTGATGAATGTGTCTGCAGTTCTAGAGTTCTCAGGTAGGGTATTCCAGATTTTAGGGCCTTTGACATACATTGAATTTTTGTAAAGGTTTAGTCGGACACGGGGAATGTCGTAGAGATGTTTGTGTCTGGTGTTATGCCTGTGAGTTCTGTCACAACTATCAAGAAAGCGTTTTAGGTCAAGGTTGATATTAGAGTTTAAGGCCCTGTAGATGTAGATTGCACAGTAGTAAGTGTGGATGTACTGAACTGGGAGTAAGTTTAGGTCTATGAAGAGTGGGGGTGTGTGTTGCCAGGGATGGGATTTAGTGATTATTCTTACTGCAGCTTTTTGTTGGGTTATTATTGGCTTTAGGTGTGTTGCTGCAGTTGATCCCCAAGCACAAATAGCCTAGTTGTTGTATGGATAAATAAGTGAGTGGTATAGTGTGAGAAGGGCATTTTGCGGCATGTAGTATCGTATCTTGGAGAGGATCCCAACCGTTTTGGATACTTTTTTGGTTATATGCTGGATATGGGTGCTGAAATTCAGGTTGTTGTCAAGGTATAAGCCTAGGAATTTGCCCCCACTATTTCTGGTAATTAGAGTGTTGTCAATCTTAATGTTAATTTGTGCATCTCCTGCTCTGCTATCAAACATAATATAGTAGGTTTTGTCAGTGTTAAGCATAAGTTTATTGGCTGTCATCCAAGTCGATATTTTAATCAGCTCCTCATTCACAATGGTGTTGAGGGTGGCAAGATTAGGGTGAGAGATGACATAAGTCGTGTCATCAGCAAAGAGAATGGGTTTCAGGTGTTGGGATACGTTTGGAAGATCATTGATGTATATGAGGAAGAGCAGGGGACCAAGGACACTTCCCTGCGGAACTCCAGTATCAAGTGGCCGTGTTGGTGATGCTGTGTCTTTAATGGTGACGTACTGATACCTATTAGTAATGTAAGATTTGAAATAAGCAAACGCATGGCCTCTTATACTGTAATGATCAAGTTTGTGGAGTAGGATGTCGTGGTCTACTGTGTCAAAAGCTTCTCTTAGGTCAATAAAAATTCCCTAGGGGATATTCCTTTTTTCCAATGCTGTGTAAAGCGATTACATTTTTATGTTGCATCATAGTGTTTTTATTTTTCCTAAAACCAAATTGGCGGGGGTTTGAGTATTTTTTGAGCGTTATAAATGAATACAGTCCCCTGTGCACGAGTTTCTCAAAGATTTTGGGTAGAAATTGGAAAGTTAGATATTGGCCTTAGTTTTTTAAAGTCTGTGGGGGTACAACCTTTTGTATTGGGGTAATTGCCATTTGGTGTTTTCGGGAAGGTTAGTCTTAGTGACTTGTTAAAAGTAATGAAATTCATGCGAAAGGAATGGGCCGCTCGCTTGTACAGTAATGGTGGGGGAAAAAGACGATTCCCCGGTTTATTTTTTTTAAATGGATTTTAATCTCAATGACTTCTGTGGGCTCTTGGTGAAGAAGAAGGGAAATTTGGGAAATTCCCCCTCTAGGTAGTCCCCGGCTGGGGATTGGATGTGGGGGTTTTACGGGAGATTAGATCCTATGTTTGGAAGAAGTTTTTTACTTGTTTGCTGGTTTGTGGGATTTAGTGGTGTTCATTAGGTTTTGTAGAACAATTTCTTGGGTTTTTCTAAATCAGCCCCAATTTCTGTATTATAGAAACCTTTTACAATTTTTCTTTCCACATCAATTTAATCTCATTTCCATAATTTCCTCCAGTACTCTCTTTTTCAGATTTAAAAGGATGTGAAAATTTTTATGAAATATTCATCTTTTTTAGAAATTTAAACACCAATTTAGTTACATTGTTTAGTTTGGGTAAAGAAGAATACCTATTTATATCAATGGCTAAGGAAGGACAAACTATTGGAGCGGTGGTCACAGTAATTTCAACAGGAGCAATATACGCCTTTTGTACAGGCCAATTAGCTTTATTTACCAACCAGCTTGGTCCTTTAAACCATGATACAGCATTTACAAATTTAGCATAAGGTAAACCTCGAGACAAGAAATCAGCTTGATTCTCCACACCAGGTATATGATTAAATGTTAACATATGCTGACCCAAACTATTATACTTCTCTTGTATCTGATTAATTTCAGCTACTCTGTTTTGTACGTACACAGTTTTACTGTTTCCATTACGAATCCATTGTAAGGATACCTCATTATCAGACCAAATTACAGTGTCGCTAATATCTCCTGCAAAATATTTCTTATATAATTAGCTAATTTGACACCTACATAAATGGCTGTTAATTCCAACTGAGGCAAGGTACGTGATTTAATTGGAGACACTTTAGCCTTAGACATAACAAGAGAAATAACACTATTACATTGAAGGTAAGCAACTGCTCCATATGCCAATTTTGAAGCATCACAAAAAATGTGGAGTACATTTTTCCCATTTGGATTGACCACCTGGTGTGGGAACTCCAACATTGGAATTTTCTCATAATCACCAATTAATTCATCCCACCTGTTAATGAATTCCTCAGGTAGAATTTCGTAATACAAATATTAAGTGGATCATACACCCACACTAGCGCGTGCGCGCACACATACACACATGAGGGCTCACGCACGGACATGTGCACACGAGCGTACAAATATATGAGTTGTGCCGCCTGAGTGGCTAGTTTATTGTGCAATTCAAGGTCATCCTGTGACCTGTAGGACAAAAAGCAGGAAAACAGAGGTCACAATAAGTGTTTATTAGACCCCCACCTGAGTATTGTTACATCAATAGAACGAAATACATATTAGTAATTTGACTTTTTTACAGTTACTTCATATAATTAATGTACATGATACAGCATGAAATACAATCTAAAAGAAACACATCATTTAAGCACTAAAGAACATCGGTCATAATTGAGCTGCACTCTCCTCCGAATGTATATGTATGTATGTGTGGAAATTTATTTGGTCC